CCCCAAAACCCCAAAACCCCAAAACCCCAAAGAGCCAATAATTATAAAGTATTTAAAAGAGCATAAATTGTCAAACTAATATTTTGTACTCTAAAAAATAAGTTTGGGATCTTAGGCTAAACAAAGCATTAATTACAAAAGATAATGTATTTCTTTCTCAATGATCAAAAAGGTTAATCTTCAAATATTTTGTCTCTACTTAGGCCTGAGGCATCAAAATCTTCTCTATTCATGCTCATGAAGCTATGCTTTCCTAAATTAGAGCTTTTTGACAGCACAGTTTGTGAATTATTCGGAGTAAAAGAGTCATCTCTATAATATTTAATCATTTACATACTCTGACATGACTCTGGATATATTACTGGAGTTATTAGACCTATTATTGGCAGAGTTATCAGTATATTTTCTTTCGTTCATATCTTCTGGGTCAAGTAAAGCTTGTGAAGACTTTTGTTGGTAGTCCTCAATCATCTTTTTGTACTGAAGTTCCACATTTGTTTTCCTTAAAACAACTGTGATCATTAGAGATGGGATTAATTCCATAAAATAGCATGCAAGCAAAATTATATCGTTTACATAATTGATAGGCTTTTCTTTACATTCATTATCCTTGTATCAATCATCAGAGTTAAGAGCTAAGTCTAAGATTCATGAGAAAGACCTGAAGATCATTCAGAACGATACCAGATAAGAGTATCATATGATAGTTGTCTATAGCTTAAATAATTACCATACCTTCTTCTGCTTATAGAGGAAAAACATTGTCTTTTTCAATCTCTTGAGAAATAGGATGCTGATTATTTGTAATCCAATTGCTACTAGTATGTAACATGCTAAATTAGATAAGAACAAGATTTAAATGATGATGAAATGAAATTATTACCGATGTAATAAATGATTCCAGTGGTCAATGCTGCTTTCAAAAAAGTAACGATTAATATCATTACCAACGAAATCACTATTATTGTGAATAGAATTATTCTGTGACTTAGATGGATTGTTCTCATTCTCTTCTGCTCCAAAGGACTAAAAATTATGAAACATCTTACTCATTAGGATTTGTATTCAGCGCTCCATGTGAAATGAACAAGTAATGGATCCATCTGGATAAGTATAAAATGCCTCCGAGACAGTGCATAGCAAGTGGAGAGAAGTATAAGAGCACAAGTAATTTATTATGGGCTTCATCAGAACTTGACCTATTGAAAGTATCCTTGTTAAGTGCCAGCATTGTGTACAAAAACTCTGCTATTCTTATTAAGTATGCTAAAGATATAAAGAAAAGAATAGACATTCTGTAGAACTCTTTTTGCCCCAGTCGTAAATTCTTGTATATCATATAGCTCATTGTTACCACCATTACTGTATTAAATGATGCAGCCAAAATGAATACTGGCTTTAAGCTTTCATTTTCCATTTTTTATAAACTGTTGGGGTTTTGGGGTTTTGGGGTTTTGGGGTTTTGGGG